TTTTCTCTTTTGTACGCAGGCACCAGTTAATGAATGTCTGCTTTTTTTTTTTTTTTTGCAACTGTTTTAACTGTTCGCCGTATGTTCGCCCCATACAACAGCACTGATTTGACATGAGAAATTGAACAATGTTAAATTTAGTTTTAACTTCCTTTGAAATGTGAAAGCAACATTCTTCTTCTTCTTCTTCGATCCTTCTGTCAGAAAACTTATATCAGGAGGCCGGTAGCCTTTATGAAAGATATCGTGCAATCCATATCCTCTCGTGTACCATACAGTTTTGTCTTCAGTGTGGTTGGAACAGGCCAGATTGCGTCTGTGTGTGTGTGTGTGTGTGTGTGTGTGTGTGAGAGAGAGAGAGAGAGAGAGAGAGAGAGAGAGAGAGAGAGAGAGAGAGAGAGAAGGATTGTATTGACTGTATATTAAAGTTAACGAATTGTGATGTTATATCCTCATCCATGTGAACCTCTGTGACTTGGTATATGGTTTCTAAGGCCGAATACAAATCCCCCCCCCCCCCACCTCCCGCGATAGCCGTCTTAACAGCATTATGGGCCCTCTCAATGAGCTGAGGCTCTTCGACAACCATTCGCAGGAATGAAATGTAAAAGGTCACTTGTCAAACAGAGATTATCACGAGGGTATATACTTGAGGTGCCTCAGTGCAAGTTTTAAGAGAGCTCATGTGTTCAGAGGGCACCGGTATAGCCAAATATAGTAATTCCTAAATATAAACTAAAATAAACCATTCAGTGATATTTTATTGATTGAAATTCAACAAAACTTACAGTAACATGAAAAATAATGTTTATTTTAAAGTGTTTATTTACTTTCACTTTATTTATATATGAAGTTCCCCCCTCCCCCCCCCCCCCCCCCCCTTTTTCCCTTTTTTTTTGTATTGCATAGTCTTTGATCAGATCATCAAACTAGTTTTATGTAATGCATTTGTCTCTATAATTAATATAGATAACGCATCCAGCCTCCCTTGTTTTGGCGAAATATTTTAATATACTTCAAACGAGAGAAAAAAAAAAACCGCTCACCTTCAAGCCTGTTGACAAAATATGTGGTGCCCCCCGCTCCCTTGTGATGCCCTAAGCACATGCTTAGTGTGCTTAATGACTAATCCGGCCCTGATATTGTCCCGATCACCGTGCCGAGTTTGAGGTATGAGCTACAGCTTGTCGGCACTTTTCCGTTTGTCCAGTCGATAGTCCTACGCTGTGGTAGAAAGAGGCGTCGGGGTTCATAGACCATTGCGATGGCGACTGTGACAAGCTAGACAAAGCAAGCCAAGTTTTCTACAGATAGTGCGTGAGATTTTAGAACCGTTGCTGCCATTACATGTGGTTTGCTGCTTCTCAGACACTCCGCTCTCAACTGATCTGGAGTAATTGTATTTGTTCTTTTCCCCACAGTCGGGAGCCGCCTTGGCTTAGTGGCTAGACGCTCGCTTTCTGATCGGAAGTCGTAGGCAAGGTTTTTGTTTTAACTGACCTTGGCTCCCAGGTCGACCCAGCCTTGAGTGGGTACCAGGTGCAGTCCCGGAAAGTAAAGGCGGCTGGCGTGATGCTGACCACATCACCCCCCCCCCCGCCCCCATTCCATTCCTAAATTCCCCTTCGCACAACACGTTCAATGGCGTTTTGTTCCCATGTATCTAAGCTGTAGCTTAGCTTAGGCCTTAAATTAGTCCCCATTTTTTTAATGTAGACATTCTTTTCAAATCATGTATATGCCCGGTTCGCTAGCGTAGTTGGCTAAAGCTGACTTCGCGGCAGCCGGGTGAAGAACTCCTTGTGGTCGGGTTCACAGCCGGGGTAGGCAGAAAAGCCACATTTCTCCCAGATTTACGGTATTTATCATGGAATCAAGACCGAAGGGCTGCGATATCCGTAGTACCGAGCCAAAGGGTTTACAACTCATGGTTTCTGGATTAAAAAAAATTCATTATTTACAAGTTTTAGCTGGACAGCTACGTAAGGCCGTAGGCACTCTAATGAAAGCATATTCAAGCTGGACAGCTACGTAAGGCCGTAGGCACTCTAATCAAAGCATATTCAAGCTGGACAGCTACGTAAGGCCGTAGGCACTCTAATCAAAGCATATTCAAGCTGGACAGCTACGTAAGGCCGTAGGCACTATAATCAAAGCATATTCAAGCTGGACAGCTACGTAAGGCCGTAGGCACTCTAATCAAAGCATATTCAAGCTGGACAGCTACGTAAGGCCGTAGGCACTCTAATCCAAGCATATTCAAGCTGGACAGCTGCGTAAGACCGTAGGCACTCTAATGAAAGCATATTCAAGCTGGACAGCTGCGTAAGGCCGTAGGCACTCTAATGAAAGCACATTCAAGCTGGACAGCTACGTAAGGCCGTAGGCACTCTAATGAAAGCATATTCAAGCTGGACAGCTACGTAAGGCCGTAGGCACTCTAATGAAAGCATATTCAAGCTGGACAGCTACGTAAGGCCGTAGGCACTCTAATCAAAGCATATTCAAGCTGGACAGCTACGTAAGGCCGTAGGCACTCTAATGAAAGCATATTCATACGATGGTATTATTAACCACACTGATGAACTGAGGCCCTTCCATGATTTTGCCAAGCAGAATTACCCCGGGGAAAAAAAAATACTCAATCAACACAAAGATCTGTTACTGTTATTTTGTAAACGCATTCTTGTTGTGTCTTTAAATTTTTTAAAATTCAAGGCGTATATATATATTAAACGTTTTCCAGATTAGCTGGCCTGATTTCTTCCTCTTCTTCTTCTTGTCTTTTTTCTTCTTCTTTGTTCGCCGGCTGGAAGCTTCGGCGGAACCTCCTGGTTGTTCGTCCATCTGGACTTTGTCTTTTTGCCTGTGTTTTGCAGTTGGTTTTTTCTTGCCGCTTGGAGAAATTCATTCTAACTTTGAAGGAAACCCCTAGTTAGTCGTCTCCTATGACATGCTTGTAGAGGAAGCAGTGGGTCTATTTTTGTTTTCCCCGCAATGGGACCCCGGAACTCACACGAGGAGCTAATATAATTTAAAACAGTAGGGGTCTCAGGGCTTTATTTAGCTGAGGGCCCCATCAAGTTTAAATCCGGCCCTACCTTATCACGATAAAGCGGCGTCCGTGGCTTAGACGTTGTGAGTCCGACTCGTAATCCAACGTACCGCGATCGAAACCTACTGCTGGCTGCGTGGATTTTTATCATGGTATGGGGCGTCGCAGGTCGACCCAGCCTAAAATGGGTATCAGGATGGCTGGGTAAGTAAAGACGGCCGGCGTAATGCTGACCACATTACCCACCCAGTGCCGATTGATCTGTAAAAATATGGGACGCTCTTCCCAAATACCCGATGCGCCTTAGGCGTGAAAATGGATCTTTACTTTACTTTACTACCTAATCCCGATAGTTGGTAACATTTTGAACAGGATTTTCAAGCGAGAAAACGCATCACTGAGATCAAGCTGCTCCTACAGAGCCTTCAAGCGGCCATGAACAGCCTCAGGGAGTCGGTCAAGGTCAGTCCTGCAGTGGACCTCGGGTACAAGGTTGTCCGCTTGGATCAGCTGTTGGCCGCCACGGGATTCAAAGAAGCCATCGAAACTGGAGGTAACCTAAGATTTTAGTGGCGAAATTGAGACTGCACTTTCTACTCGACAAGATCGGCGGAGTTAAACTCCCATGTGTACTCTTAGTAATCTCTGGCATGCATGTTTTCTATATTCATGTATTTGTCTGGCTCATTTGCCTTCATGATTATCATCGTTGTGATGAGGCGCTTTGCATGGTCTCTACGCGTACAGTGTGGCAAGCAAAAAGTCCGTGCGACAAGCGACCGCACGAGATACGAGATACTTGGGGGTGGTATATTGTCATAGCTTCAAGTCCTTACGTCCTTTTCAGGACGTAGTTTTTTGTTATTTGAAGCCCCACTCTGGCTTTTGCCAGGGGCCGCAATATAGGCAGGCCATAAAAATGGCCAAATGTCTGAACGCGGTTTCTGGGACCTCTCCACGGTGATCCTCATCCACATGGTGGCACGTTGTGTCATCGGGTGTTTATCGCTTGTGTGATGTCCTAGTGGGGTAGAAAGTCACTCACTCACTCATTTGGGGGTGGTCGAGTAAGCGAGGGAAAACCCGAGCTGAACTCGTGGTCAGTTGCTTACCAGACGTCGTAGAAGACAGTCTGTTAATAGAAGGGATTTTTGCCAAGGTATGTATAGCTCTATATACACAATACGCCTGAAGGCGTTAGAAAAAGGTACTTTACTTATTTTTAGGGAGCTGCGTGGTCTCGAGGCATGGTGTCCGCCTCGAGTGCTAGAGGTTCCTGGTTCAATCCCCGGTAAGGGCTGGGATTTTTTCACGTGGACTTGGACTTCTAGTAATCCCCCCTGGTCTCTGGGTAGTGATATCGGAGGCCCGTGCCCATTGTTGCGCTGGTAAAAAAAAATCCCTTGTAACGACCGTTAAATCTCCCCCCGACACTTCGCTGAGGTACAAGGTGAAAGAAAAGAAGAAGAAGAAGAAGAAGAAGAAGATGATGAAGAAGAAGTATCATGCCCCACTAAGAACTTTTTTGTTTCTTGTATTGTTCCCCCACCCATTTTTTTGCATGATTTCAAAGTGTAGGATTACCATTTTAATGATGAGACAAACAGGTACAAAACCCGAAAACCCCGTTCAGTCTTATAGCCAAATAGCGCAGTTATATTGGGGCACCACCAAACAGTTTCGAAGTGACCCGTAGTCCAGAGTGGGTGAGTTTTATAACTTCGTTGATTGTTGAATGGGGTTTGCTCCCTTGATTTGCCACCCAGACTGAAATTTCTATAAAGGCAGGGTGTCAAACCTTCAGACAGCAACCAGTGGGCTCCTACCGAGAGCGTTGCACAAACCACTGTCGATCCCAGGGGTCTCTGTAACAAATAAACTTGTGAACGAAACGAGGCAGACGTAAAACGAACCCACGTCCTTCAGAACATGAAGCAAACGACTTGACCATTTCGCCACTTAGCTTCCCGAAACAACAGTAAATCTTTCTTTTCTTTCCCCCTTACTTGATACACATAGTCGTCCCCTCGTTTGATGCAATTTTTTGTGAAGCCCTATCCTGGCTTCTGCCAGGGGCCTTGAATATAGCCGAAGCATAGATATGGCCTAGCCAAAGATATGGCCTAATGGCTGAAAGGGGTTTCTGGGACCTCTCCACGGGTGATCCTCATCCGCATGGTGGCACTTTGTGTCACCGGGTGTTTATCGCCTATGTGATGTCCTGGTGGGGTACAACTACCTACCTACCTTCCCCCTCACTCAGTTATAAACTTAAACTTGAAGACGTTATTTCGTCCTTATATCCAACACAGAAGCCAGCCATGACGACGTACTTGTGATCAGCCAGCCCACATCCAGAGAACCTGGCCGGATTGAGATGCCCCGAAAGGAAATGTTCCAGACGACGGAGGACATGGTTTGTAGATGTCTTAGCAACACTGAAACAATGTGGATGCCACTTGAAATAGTTAGTTAGTATTATTTACAACAGAACGTCTGGAAGGAAGGCGAAGGGAAGACCAAGAAAGAGATGGATAAATGGTTTCGCTGAAACCTGCAAAAAGATGAACAAATCAATTATCCAGGCCACCCGAGAAGTGCAAGACAAATACAGAAAACCACGTCACGGGGCTACAACCTGGTATCAGTGAGACGACAAAACAAAGGAGAGTGTTAGTCAACAGATCGTCCTCACTGGTCGTACAGCCACTCAATCTTTTAAAAATTAGTTATTGCCCCCTGACCTCCTTATCAGACTTTGTATTCAAAGCAACAGCACCAGATGCTTCCTTCACAGGTTTTTGCCTCTATTCTTCTTCATTTCCTCACTCTTATGCTGCTCTCTTTACTTGTCAACAATCAGACGGCTACTGGTGAAATCGGAATTGGAACTCTTCGCTTGCTGCTGAAGATGGGGACTGAGCACTTATGGAAGTATCCCGAGTGCTGTGATGCCGATTCCCTAATTCAACACTGAACATTCAACAATCACTTGTCGTTGCTGTTGTTGTTGTTGTTAGTATGATGGTCATTCATAGAGTATTATGCAATATTTATTTTTGGCGGATAGTGAGAATGGAAGCATGAAATTTCAAATAGTAGTATTTTTTTGTGCGAAATAGCAATAGACTGACAGAAATTAACAGGAAAATAGCCATAGCAATGTAAAGATTAAACAGCATTAAAAGTCTGTGGTTAAGCCCCAGCAAGGAGATCACAATTAGAATTTTGAGAGCATGCATCTTCCCCATAGCAACATACGGATGTGAGTCGTGGACTATCTCTAAGTCCTTAAGAAAAAGAATAGGGGCTTTTGAGCTGAAATGCTAAAGAAAGATTCTCATAATATCTTGGACAAAGAAGAGGAGAAATTCTGACATCTTTAAAGATCTGAACATCAAGGAAGATTGGCTAATACACAGCATCCTGTCTCGGAAGCTGAAATATTTTGGTCATATCAAGCGCCACGACGGACTGGAAAAAAATAATAGCAAAAGGCATGGTACCAGGAAGGAGGGCAGGGGCCGACCAACACGAAGATGGGCACAGGATATAAGTGACTCCTTGAGTACGAAAGTACATGAGGCGGGAGAGCTGGCGAGAGACCGAGTTTCTTTCAGGCAGACCGTGATGAGAGCGACGTTCTGCAAAGGACCTGCTACATGATGATGAGTATTCTTTGTACGGAACGGTAACTCATTCGGACAAACAGAACCATCGTACTATTCCACTGTGAGCTGCAGGTTAAATTTGGAATACTTTTCGGCTGCGCCCAGTGTGGTATGTTTTAAGACCTGCACATGAAAAAAAATAGCCCCAGTGGCCCGGTTGCCAGAGATCTTATGGTGCCTTATGCAATTAATTGCGTGTAAAGCGGCTCATTTGTGGTAGTTGCTGCTTCCATCGACGACAAACTGCATTTCTAGTGTCAGACTGTTTGTGTTGGCACTTCTGACGGCTGTCTTATGCTTGTGTATGCTACTGCATTTGCTGACAATTTTTTCAGAAGGTACAGTGATTGACATTCGGCGGTGTTTACGTTGGCACCTGAATGGAGCAGCTAGGGGGTGTTAAACCAGCATCCAAGTGGGTGCCATGTGTAGTCCTGGGAAGTAAAGACGGCCTATGTGCTGCTGACCACATCGTGCACCATGTGCTGAGTGGTCTATAGAATATATGTAAAGCTCTTTATACACAATACGCCTGAAGGCGTTAGAAAAAGGTACTTTACTTATTTTTGGGAGCTGCTTGGTCTCGAGGCATGGTGTCCGCCTCGAGTGCTAGAGGTTCCTGGTTCAATCCCCGGTAAGGGCTGGGATTTTTTCACGTGGACTTGGACTTCTAGTAATTCCCCCTAGTCTTTGGGTAGTGAGATCGAAGGCCCGTGCCCATTGTTGCGCTCTTAAAAATCCCTTGGCAGTTGGAAATCGAAAAGAGTAGCCTAACTGCGCTGCCAGGGCAGAATTTGGAGTTAAAAATGTGCCCAAAGTATTTCAGAATCCTCGCCGGTGCTACAGAGCCAGTGCACTGTTCTGAGCCTCTTCCAGCTCAGATTTGAGTTAGAAGAAGAACGGAGCACTAACCCATCTGCCATGATGTTGATCCGTTGCTCACAACCTCACATCTTATTTATAATATTTAGCCCTTTTCCTCTGCGTGACTTGTCATACAATTTATTTATTTTCAACAACATCTAATCAGATTATAATTATACGTCTGTCTATTCAAATTTGTATACTAATTGTTCAGTATGAGGATACTATCATGTTTTATGCAGGAATCTAAATGGGCCATTACAGACTCTATAATGCAGACCATGTATCGATTGGAAATTGAACTCGGAGAGCTGCAAAAATTGCACGGCTCATCGGACGCATCTGGCTTTGGCAAAGCCTTTGAGGTAATTGGTAACTTACATAAATATGTCGGTGCTTTGTTAATATCCTACCCCCAGATGACGTCACAGGACAGTCCAACATTTTAGAGGGTGGCAACACTGGCTTTCCGGCTTTCTGATGTTTTTAACGATCCCAAACATCTATAACTGGCCCTAACACAAACCCACCTACGTCTCACGAGAGAGTGCAGCCTAGGTCCCCCGACTGCATGCGGCACGTTTCTTTATTTCATATATTTCTTTCACTAAAGAATTAACATTTCCATGATCCCTATATTTAAAGAGAGTATTTTTTTTTTAATTTCCTGAGATTACCTACGGAAACAGAAAACAGTAGGGCCTCAGGGCTTTATATAGCTCAGGGCCTCATCAGGTCTAAATCCGGCCCTGCATTTGGCGTATTTGGCTAATGATTTCCCCTGCTTCTGCCATACAGGACACCGCTCCCTCTTAAGGCACTTATGGTTGTTTAACTCCTGAAGAGGAAGCTTTTGGTTATAATTGTAACTAGGTTATTTGCGTCAGATAAAATAGCTTGGTAAAACTAATGTTTCGCTCCCCAGATCCCGCCCATATACACACTAGCTCGCTTCTGATTGGTAGACTTTGAGCCACGTGACCTGGACACAAGTTTACGGAGGTTTTCCACAATGCCGTTGATATCGCGTGTTGTATATTTCAGCACGACAGCGCTTTTAACACTCTAAAAACATGGACAAACTAGGTCTAACACAACCCCTCTAGAGAGTGCTTCAACCTATGTCACGTGCATTCTCTTTCTCGGAATAAAAATGTAAATGCGAGACAACCGATAAAGCAAACAACAGAGCAGCACATCCGTAACATGCAGGAAAGTGAAATGAAACGTGACCTACTTTGTTTGAGGAGACTAATTGAAACCTAACCAATGGCTTAATATTGCACGCAACCTAGAGCCATACAAAAGGTTCTTGAAGTTTTGATGCGATCAAAGGAGACAGACCCAAATCCTATCTACCGGCCAGCCAATGGGCGACCCGGCCGCCCGTGTGCACCCGTACGCAGCTGCACAAAGAGGACTGTGTTTTATATCATCAGCAGGTTAGGTTTAAGTTAGTCTCCCTAAACAAAGTAGGTCATGTTTTATTCACAAGTTTGTTGAGCTGGTTTACTTTCCTGCAGCTTACTGGTTTACCACTTTGATGTTTTCTTTTTGGGTTGTCTTGCATATACGTTATTATTCCGAGAAACAAAATGCATGTGACATAGGTTGCAGCACTCTTTAGGGGGTGGGGCGAGTTGTGTTAGACACAGTTTGTCCATGTTTTTGAAGTGCTAAAAACTATGGCGTGCTGAAATATACAACACGCGATATTAACGTCATTGTGGAACACCTCCGTAACCTTGTGCCAACTCACGTGGCTCAAAGTCTACCAATCAGAAGTGAGCTAGTGTGTATATGGGTGATCCGTATGGAGACTAACGTAAGTTTTACCTAGCAGTAAGACCAACTCCGCCCTCATCTGAGCCAACCCTTGGCTAGTGACCATGTCTGCTGGGTCTCTTTACATTTCTTCACCATCCCCTTTGTGGGATGCAATTTTTCGTTTTTCAGAAGCCCCACCCCGGCTGTTGCCAGGGGCAGCAATATAACCAAATGATTGGAAGCGGTTTCCGGGACCTCTCCACGGGTGATCCTCATCCGCATGGTGGCACTTTGTGTCACCGGGTGTTTAATGTTCTATGTGATGTCCTGGTGGTGTAAAATTTACTCACTTACTTATGAAAACTCTCTCGAGCACCCGTAGGATCAGCCCCCATGGCTTCATAACCTAACTAAAGTATCTACTTATTATCAGACTTGAGTTAGAAGAAGAACGGAGCACTTATGGGTTACTACCCGTGTCCGATTAGGTTGATCTGTTGTACAAACCTCAAACCTCCACTTATTAGTACAGAATGAGCTAAGCACTAACTACCTGCTCGGTCCTGACAAGATTTAACTTATCTTTCGCTACATGACGCAGGAGCTGCATCACACTATTCGACAAGTCAAGGACAGACAACTGGACGTGAAAACTGTCAAACGTCTCATCGACGACTGTGTTCTAATGAGTATGCCTGTGAGTAATGTTTCTCAATGCCTGTTGTTGTTTTCATTATCTTTTGTCTTTCTTTCTATATTTCTTTCTTTCTTTCGTTTTTTTCTTCCTTATTTCTGTCTCTTTCTTTCTTTCTTTCTTTCTTTCTTTATTTCTTTCTTTCTTTCTTTCTTTCTTTCTTTCTTTCTTTCTTTCTTTCTTTCTTTCTTTCTTTCTTCTCGTTTCTTTTTTTCTGTCTTTTCTTTCTTTCTATACATCTTTTCTTTCTTGCTTTCTTCTTTTTTCGTTCTTTCTTTCGTTCTTTCTTTCTTTCTTTCTTTCTTTTTTTCTTTCTTTCTTTCTTTCTTTCTTTCTTTCTTTCTTTCTTTCTTTCTTTCTTTCTTTCTTTCTTTCTTTCTTTCTTTCTTTCTTTCTTTCTTTCTTTCTTTCTTTCTTTCTTTCTTTCTTTCTTTCTTTCTTTCCTCTCTTCTTTCTTTCTTTTTCTTTCTTTCTTTCTTTCTTTCTTTCTTTCTTTCTTTCTTTCTTTCTTTCTTTCTTTCTTTCTTTCTTTCTTTCTTTCTTTCTTTCTTTCTTTCTTTCTTTCTTTCTTTCTTTCTTTCTTTCTTTCTTTCTTTCTTTCTTTCTTTCTTTCTTTCTTTCTTTCTTTCTTTATCTCTTTCTTTATCTCTTTCTTTCTGTCTTTACTTCTGTCTCATTTTCTGTCTTTCTTTCTTTATTTCTTTCGTTTGTTCTATTTTCTTTCTTTACTTCTTTTCTTCTTTTTTTATTTCTTTTTTCGTTCTTTCTTTCTGTCTGTCTGTCTTCTTTCTTTCTTTCTTTCTTTCTTTCTTTCTTTCTTTCTTTCTTTCTTTCTTTCTTTCTTTCTTTCTTTCTTTCTTTCTTTCTTTCTTTCTTTCTTTCTTTCTTTTCTTTGTTCATCTATTTTCTTCTTTCTTTCTTTACTTTTGTCTTTCTTTCTTTCTTTCTTTCTTTCTTTCTTTCTTTCTTTCTTTCTTTCTTTCTTTCTTTCTTTCTTTCTTTCTTTCTTTCTTTCTTTCTTTCTTTCTTTCTTTCTTTCTTTCTTTCTTTCTTTCTTTCTCTCTTTCTTTCTATCTGTTATTCTTTTCTTCTTTCGTTTTTATTTTCCTCTTTCTGTTATTATTTCTTCCTTTTTATCTTTTTATTTTTCGTTCTGTCTTGTATTCTATCTATCTGTATAAATTTATATCTATCTATCTATCTATCTATCTATCTATCTATCTATCTATCTATCTATCTATCTATCTATCTATCTATCTATCTATCTATCTATCTATCTATCTATCTATCTATCTATCTATCTATCTATCTGTCTGTCTGTCTGTCTGTCTGTCTGTCTGTCTGTCTGTCTGTCTGTCTGTCTGTCTGTCTGTCTGTCTGTCTGTCTGTCTGTCTGTCTGTATTTCATTTTTTCTATCTACCTATCTATTTTTCTTACTTTCTTTCTTTCTACTTTCTTTCTACCTATTTATTCTATGTATTTTTCTTTCTCTCGTTTGTTATACTTTTTCTTTCTTTTTTCTTTCTTTTTTTTCTACTTTTCATTCTATCCGTTTATCTTCCGTTTTTTCAAATATATTACTTACTTTCTATCTTTCTTTGTTTCTTTCTTTCTCTTCTTTCTTTCTTTATTTTTTTTTCTTTCTAACTTTATTTTTTTTTTACTTTTCTTTCTTTCTTTCTTTCTTTCTTTCTTTCTTTCTTTCTTTCTTTCTTTCTTTCTTTCTTTCTTTCTTTCTTTCTTTCTTTCTTTCTTTCTTTCTTCATATCTTTATAAATCCTTTTTTCTGTGAACGTAACATTACCTAGTAAAACCATAAACAGTAAAAAAAAAAATTTTTTTTTGGTAATTACAGTGGTTCTTTCTGTAACATCCTGTAAAGGTAGCGCAACTAATTTATAATCATCATCATCATTATCATTAAAATGATTATAGATGAGGAAGAAAAAGTGTATGCATGTTTTATTATTGTTTATTTATTAGGCAAGGGCGCGTCAGCCCAGCGTCGACTTCAAGCCTCAACGGGAGGAAGTCATGAGCCGAATGGCATTGGAGGAATCGGCTCGGCCTCTCAAGAATCTGCAGGGAGTCGTCGAGGGCATTCTCAAGCGTTTGAAGGAATTAGTAAGTTGACCACACCAGGATCTACTGCATGGCTATTCAACTGGCGGTCCGCTGGCCAAATCTGGCCCGCCAAGACCTAGCAGGTGGCCCGCGGATCACTTCTAGCTGTATTGTATTTTCGATCTTTCTATCCTGGGGCTCTGCTGGCTGCATGGATTTTTATCGTGGTATGGGGCGTCGTAGGTCGACCCAGCCTTAAGTGGGTACCAGGATGTATGTCCTGGGGAAGTAAAGACGACCGGCGTAATGCTGCCACATTACCCACCTAGCGCCGATTGGTCTGTAAAAATATGGGTGCTTTTCTCATATGTCGAATGCGCCTAAAAGCGTGAACAGGGATCTTAACTTTTTACTGTACTTACTTTATGCTGGGGCTAGCCCGGCTCTCTAGCGAAGTTGGTTAAACATGACGTTCGCGGCGGCCGGGTGACGAACTCCTTGTGGTCCGGGTTCACTCCCGGGGGTAGGCAGAAAAGCCACATTTCTCCCAGATTAACGGTACCTATAATGGAATCAAGGCCGAAGGGTTGCGATATCCATATGCTGGCCTGTGACGATCTCTGTTGAACAGTTTGGCTCCTGAGTCGGCTTATTTGAACAGCCCTGCTGAGTGACTAACGGTTCCAGGTCTCGATAATAACCACATCAACACTCATATTACACTTGTAAGATAGCAATTTCCACTTCTGTCGTGGGGCGTTGTGGGCAGAAAGAGTTTGCAAACCCTTGCTTGATGGGTGGCAATTCTGACTGTCATTCCGTGTCGATGTAGAGGCTCTTTAATGTCATATTTTCCTAAGGCGGTCTCTTGCTTTCACTTCAGATTTTTGCATGTGTAGCGCCTTCGCTGGAAGTTGTTTTGACTGCATTTTTACGATATCATCAAACCATTGGATCTGTTTTTTCCAATGAATTTGCTGCTAGGTATTGTCCCTACAGCCTGTTTAGTAAAGTAAAGTAAAAACCCCTTTTCACGGCTTTAGGCGCATCGGGTATATGGGAAGAACACACGTATTTTTGCAGACCAATCGGCACTAGGGGGGGGGAGAGGGGGGGGGGTAATGTTGTCAGCATTAAGCCGGCCGTCTTCACTTCCCCAAGACATACAGCCTGGTACCCATTTTAGGCATGAAGATGCTTAAAAGTTAAAATTTAAGTTTTCTTCCCCTATCACTGTCGAAAAGACTTTATTTTGTGTTTCATACTCAGATATCATTCATATTGCATAACATGTAAACCACGACGTGCTAAGAATTGTCATTGTATTTATCCCGAAGTGCCACAAATCCTCTGCCTGCATTCACTGACTCTTTCAGTCCCAGGCAACTCACCATGCGTTTGTCGGTCCCTGCTTATACGCTTCAATTTCTTTAACTCCTGATAGCCAGCCAGTTTGTACACCAACTCATTCTGTACCTATGTACCTATGATTACTTTAATCCTTTCTGTCACACAGGGTTTATGTTTTAATCACTTTAGGTAGAAATATTCATTAGTAAAAAAAAAAACATTTCTTATTTTATAATGAATTAAAATAACGTGTGCCTGGGACTGAAAGAGTTAAGGTGCAACCGATAAGTCTACACAGTCTCATTCATCGCATTGAAGACAAATAAGCGTTACATTTGCATTGCACTGTTTTTCTTCTTTTACTAAGTATTCAAACTTTAAGCATAGGGGTGCCACGAATTTTTTTTTTTTCCCGGCAAGGGTGCTACAGCGAAAAAAAGTTTGAGAACCGTTGCTTTACAGGACATTACAGAACCAACCTTAGCCTTTTTTTTCTGCTTGGTTTTACTAGGCAGTTTTACGTGCAGTAGTTTGCCTTTGCTTACTGAGCACTCTGGTCTCGATTGTTCGTTGCGTATCATTAACAGGACGTTGCAGAACCAGCGGCAGCAGCCCTGGCTGTTGTGTGGTTTCTCTAGAGAAATTTACGTCATGTAGTTTGCCATTGCTTTTGGACGGTCGGCTTTCTTGATACCACTGTCGAAACCAAAGCAAGGCGCAGATGGGATCGAACCCGGCACCCCGGCATTACGAAGCGTTCGCATCGACTTAGCCACAGAGCCGACTCTGATCTTGATACCCTTGTCGAAATCAACGCACAATTGTCTGCAGCCAAAATGTTTGCAAGCTCACTTGAACCGGGTGGTTCGGAATTACTAAGTGTATTTTGCAACGCCTAAGATACAGATGCCGATAGATGAATATGTGAGTTGCGGTATCACGGACACTCTTCCACGCCGTGAGGCAGACAGATTGGCTAAATCTGGACCACTGAATGGTGAATTGATACATGACAAGGCAGATGTGATCAGAGCCCTGTGGGAACATGTAAAAAAGTCAAAACTTAAACAAAATTATTATGGCTCGGAAAGAATTATGCCCCAGGGTGTAACCAGAGGGTCTTATCGGCTCACTACACTCAGAGGAAAAGCAAAACGGACATATAACCAGACTACAGCTGGTACCATTAGTACTGAAACTCTGTGCTGGCTGCTGAAGATGGGGACGGTGTATGTATGGGAATGCTCTGGTTGCTGTGATGTCAATTCGTGACTCAACTCATTCCACGCCTTTAGGCGTATTGTGCGTATAGTCCTAGATCTTTATTTTGTAGACCAATCGGCATTCAGTTGGTGATATGATCAGCACCCTACCGGTCACCTTTACTTTACAGGACTTTACCTTATACCCATTTAAGGCTGGGTGGACCTGGAAGAAAAGGTAATTTTTTTTTCAAATCTAGCCGCGTTCGGATTTGAACCAAGACCTTCAGAATAGCATGCAAGCGTCAAGCCGCTGCACCACGGCAGATCCTAGACTTATAAATGTAAGATGTCTTTAAAAATGTCTATGCTCTAATTAATGTAATATATTTATTCACTGGTATCTTTATTTTCTCTTTGTATCCCAAACAAGGAAACGAATTATCAAATACGACCGAGCGCGGCCATCAAGAAATTGTAAGTTAACCCATGTCTGCTTGACTAAACTTTCTACAGAGCTTTAACTTATTCAGTCATAGACGGCGGTGCTTACGTAAAGAAAACTGGGAGGTCTTGAAAGGTTTAACCCCTTGAAGATTGTGTGTGGAGTGGCTTAGGGAACCAACGGCATTATTTTTTTGTGTGTGTTTTTTTTGTTAAACATGTGATTAGAGAATGCTAAGGAAATCGGGATTCTCTGGTAGCCACTTTCACTGTTTATGTAGCCTCGTTGAGTTTAATGCACTCTTAATTTTATTCTAAATGGCGCTTTATTACTTGTCCGTACTGACATCCTAGCACAAGAGAAGAGCGAGACGGATATACAATCTGACAGTTACTGGTGCCATCGGAGTTAGAACTCTTTGTTTGCTGCTGAAGAAGCGGACGGAGAGCTTGTGGGGGTGTCCTGAGTGCTATGGTGTCGATTTTTATTTCAACATTCAAAATCCTAGCACATCTGTCCGAGCCATTCAGATGCAGCAGTCATCTCAGTGTCCAGGTGCTTACCGTGTCCAGTAGCAGTTGACTGGCATACCAGCCGGTTTCTTCATGCTTGTTCTCGTTTAACACATTACCAACAGGCGGTTCATCATCTCTGAATCCTTTGTCTCAAAGTCTCTAGCACGCGGCCAGCTCAGTATGTCTGCCCTGTCCATACTTCTTCATCCACCAGTCACTGCAGACACGGCCAATCTGTCAGCTCTTTCATTCCCCTGCACCCCAGCATTTCCCGGTGTGTACAGCCAAGATAGTTTCTTCTGTCGGGACTTCTGGATGCTGTCAATACATTCTAGTCGAAGTTTGACAGTTTGAAGCTTTTTAAGCATGCTCATTGAGTCTGTCACTTGCAGTGTGTGAGTGGCTTTCTGAACCGCCAGACACGCAAGTTTCAATGTGACAGTTGCTTTCGTTACGATACTGTATTTTATGGTTTATAGTTGGGCTGCAATAGCAACCCATCTGATATACGCAAACATTTAATTATTTGCTTTCTACGACAGGCTTGTTAAAAAGTAGTGGATCTATTTCCCCATACCATCTATCCCACTAGATGGCGACCCAGAACCTGCATAGGGAGCTATCAAACAGTAATGAATGTTGTTCTTATGTCCATCAAACAGTAATTTATTTAACAATTGTGGCTATCAATCAGTAACTTGTTTATTTCTCTTGGCTATCAGTCAGTGGTGTGTTTAGTTCTTAATGCCATCAAACAGTTATTTGTTAATTTCTTTAGGATAAAAATTACAAATTTGTTTAATTCTATTGGCTATCAGTCAGTGATGTGTTTAGTTTGTATTATCATCAAACAGTTATTTCTTTTGTTTCTTTAGGATAAAAAACAGTAATTTGTTTAGTTCTCTTGCTATTAGTCAGTGATGCGTTTAGTTCGTATTGCCTTCAAACAGTTATTTGTTTATTTCTGCAGGTTATCAATCAGTAAGGTGTTTAGTTCGTATAGCTATCAAACAGTAATTTTAGTATTTCTGGCTATCACTTGTAGGCTGTCCAAGGAATTCTAAAGATTCTTCTGTAAAACCACATCTCTCAAGCCTCAAAAAATTGTTTGGCTTGTAATTAGGCGTTTCTAAATAACGGCTGTAACTTACATTTTCTCTCCAGGAAAAAGGGAGATAAGAGAGCTGCTTGCCTGTCCTGTGATACGGGAATTGATCCGAATTACGTCTAGTAAGTAAAAAAAAAATCGCGTTTAAGATAGTTCCTTTATGGATGTTTAAGATGGTGACTTTCTTGCCGTTACGATAATTTCTTATTTATGTTTAAGATAGTTCAACTGTTTTCCTTTACAATAATTCTTTGTTGTTATGTTGTTGTTGTTGTGTTATTATTATTTAATTATTACCATTATTATTATTATTAGGATAGTGTTTTTGCTGCCATTATGATCAATCGCAATTTGCTGTTTCGTCCTTTTTTAGAAAATAGCTGTTTCGTTCTTTTTGGGACGAAATTTTTCGTTATTTGAAGCCCCACCCTGGCTTTTGCCATAGGCCGCAATATAGGCAGGCCATAAATATGGCCAATTGTCTGAACGCGGTTTCTGGGGCCTCTCCACGGTGATCCTCATCCACATGGTGGCATATTATGTCATCGGGTGTTTGTCGCTTGTGTAATGTCCTTGTGGGGTAGAAAGTCAGTCAGTCTGCCATTACGATGATTTCTTATTTATGCTTAAGCTAATTTCATTATTCGCGTTTAAGATTGTTCAATAAGTAAAGTAAAGTATAGGACCCTTTTCCACGCCTTTAGGGGTATAGGGTATCTAAGGCTAGACCTATATTTTATATACCAACGGCACAAGATGGGTGATGTGGTCAGCATCACGCCGGCCCGCCTCTACTTCCCGGGACTGCACCCGGTACCCATTCAAGGCTGGGTCGACCTGGGACCTAAGGTCATTTTTGAAGAAAAGTCTGGCTCCGCCAGGGAGCGAACCCACGACCTAAGAATGTTCCATACTGACCCTAAGTATACTTCGATTATCGACCTTTAAGATAGTATGAATGAATCAAACCAATCAAGAATTGAGATCCCTACACCAGGGACATTCCCACATGTGCTCCGTCCCCTTCTTCAGTAACCAACGAAGAGTTCACAAGCTATTAGTACCAGCTGCAACCTGATTAGAAGTCTGTCTGATTCCCCTTCAGTTTTGAATATCTTCCACAACCCAACCCCCCCCCACTCGGCCCCCCCCGCCCCACTCAACCCCCGCCCCCTTCCCCCCCCCCTCCCCCGATTCGAATTAATCTTTCAATGTATGGATTCCCTGTTCTTTTGCACTGTCCATTTGATCCCAGTGAGACTTCACCACATCCGCGTTACCATATACAAGCTCACCGCCCAGAGGGGCGGCAGCAGCTAATCTATCAATCTGCTCGTTACCTCGCACACATGAATACACTAGAAAATCAATGATATGCTCTTGATCTGGGTCTCGCGAAGTGATGCAAGACATTCTCATGGCAGGACACCAGTTTCAGTTTTTCTGAAGCATGCTTTGAGGTCTGAGGTTTAAACAACTCATCAACATTATGGCACATGGGTAGTAACCCATAAGTGCTCCGTTCTTCTTCTAACTCGAGCCTGAGTCTGAAGTCGCTCAGCGCAGTGCACGGGCTCCGTAGCACCGGCGAGGATCCTAAAATATTTTGGGTAGATTTTAACTCCATATTTTTCCCGGGCAGCGCCGTTAGGATACACTTTTTGATTTTCAACTGTCAAGAGATTTTTTTTACGTGAGCAACAATACACACGGGCGTTCGATCTCACTACCCAGAGACCAGTAGAAATTACTAGAAGTCCCCTTGAACAGAAAAAACCTAGCCTTCACCGAGGCTTGAACCCGGGACCTTTAGAACTCGAGGCAGACGCATGGTCTGTGAGTCCGTTACAGTCCCACATGTTGAGCTGTGCTGCTCTCAGACCTTTAAGATAGGTCAATATTTTGATATTTGACCTTTGAGATATTTCAATTAATAACTTTTAAGATTATTCCCGACTTCTGGCCCAATATGGAAGATAGGCATGGCAGGCAAAATGTTAAGCTTCGAAGTTATTTATGCTCCTGACAACGTTTTGTTAATGCTTTTTAAACATATGGACAGAAGTCAACGGTTTTGCTGCCTAAGCTAATGAGTTAGTGCTTGGTGTGGCACTGTGCGCTGCATTTTACGTGTTGAATGCCTTTCATTTGCGTAACGGTTGTGTCGTGGTGTTCAGTACAGCGGGTAGCCAGTTTACTTGCTGGCTAGCGAAATACCTCATGTAATAATTGCGCCTGTGTGTGGCCAGCTTATCCTGACTGACTACTTTAATCAGTGACAAACTGCACTTCTGGTGGGTACTGTTGGCTTTGACATCTACATCAACTGCCTTATGCATTAATTCTGTGGGCATATTTCTAGATTGTGTCGGGATTAATTCAGGTTGTATAACAGTTTCAAATTTGACAGTGAGGGACACTTCATTTGATTTTCACTGGCACAGCAATGGAGCAAGTATGGGGAAAACTCGATTGCGGTAGATTTGAAAACTCGACTACGATTGAAATTTAAGATAGATCCATTACGGAGGTATAACAAATTTCCATAATTACCTTTACTATAGTTACATACGGGAACCGCCCTGGTGTAGGGGCTAGACGCTCGCCTGTGGATCGGAAGGTCATGGATTCGAATCCTGGCGGTACCGGATTTTTTTTTATAAACCTGGCTCCCAGATCGACTTAGCTTTAAATGGGTAGCAGGTGAAGTCATGGGAAGTAAAGTTGGTCTTGTGATGCTGACCGTATCACTCACTAAGTGCCGATTGGTCTTTAAAATATGTGTCTAGCCCTATATGCCCAACATGCCTGAAGGCGTGAAAAGGGTCCTTTACTTCATTTACTTTATAGTTCCATGCCCATGTTTAAGATGGCTCCTTTATGAACATGTGCAAGAAAGCCTGGCATATGATATCACAACGTCTAGTTTGAGAATGGAGGTGGAGGCAGTCACTGCTCCATTCTGCTAGCTTGAAAATCAGCTGCATACACATGCCGTGATTGTAACTGACTCACAGAGCATGTTGAGAAAGGCGAAGACAGGTTTGCCTCGTGCAGAGTGGCAAGCTTCACTTGAGAGGTCCCAGGTAGTTAGTTTGTTTTTTTGTTTTTGTTTTTTTAATACTCTCTCGAGGGTATGCTGGTGTGTTGGGAAACGAGCAGGCAGATAGAGTGGCCGCTTCTGCACCACTTGGTGGTGAATTGATGTATGACAAGTTTTCTTTGGAAGCGAGTGAACAGTGTGGAAACGCAAAAACGATCCTTACAGACTGAGGAGAATGGCGCTGCCAAGAGTTGGTTACAAGGGGATCTGGCCGACGCTCTACACTCAAGGGAAGGGCGAGACGGATATACAATTAGATAGTTACTGGTGCCATCGGAATTTGTTATTTTTTTAATTACAATCAGCGTATAATTATGACTAAACACGCTGTCTTGCAAATATGTCCACAGCAAGACATCCAGGCAGGTTCCGAGGGGAGATTTATATGAGCCATCTGTCGCCAAGAACTTGCAAGCGTTAGTCAAAATGCCCGCCAGATCCCAATACGTCATCAGTAGAACTTATGCGTAAGTTTCTGGCAGCTGTGTCATTCGTTTTCTTTGGCTTCCGTGGTAGCCTTGAAAATAACGACTGGTACGTTGTGTTGTGGTTTATAGCTAGGCTGTGAAATTTGCTCTTTCGATTCAACTCCATCGATTTTAGCAAAAGCTGTATTTGTCGCATTTTACGACACGCTTGTGAGTGAGCAGTGGAATGTTCCCCCCACACCCACACCCCCCTTCCCAAATGGAGTAGCTGGAAGCGACCATGTTAGTTAGCTGTAGAATAGTTGTTAAATTTCAGGCAGGTAATTTTGCATTCTTTGCGGCTGTTCCAGAAGTGAGGTACAAGACCACTCCTATCCCAACCCCACCTATTAAAGAGCTCGTTTCTCCGTAAACCAAATCCAATTGTATTTACCAATTCACATGTAAGTGCCAGTTGACTTGCATCGGTCAAACGGAGAGAGCTTGGAAAAAGTGTGGCAGAAAACACACCCGAATGGCTACATTCAGGGTTCAGTGATTCTTCAAGGTGGTCGAGACCAGTCTAGAGGAGAGAATCCACTTCTTCCGTAGAACGTCATTTGCTTAATTACAGACACGTAATTGACAAAGAGAGTGCTTTCAGTGTGGTTTGCCACACACCCAACAGGCGACTGATGAAAATGGCCGAAGCTTTAACAATTAAAATCAACAACATCCTCCTTTGTAAGAAGACGAAATTTAGAGTAACTTTTGAAGTTACCCTGGTAAGTCACCTGACTACGGCGAACTTCCGGTGAGTGCCGCCGACTAGACAAACTATGATGCATCAAAAGAAACTATGTTGTGCTTTCATTTTATGTTGATGTAACTCTGTAGTAACGCATCTGATGAGATAAAGCGAAATATGCCTGGCAATAAATTGCGCTGGAAATGAGATGTCTGAGAAGGGCTGTAGGAGTGACCATAAGAGATAAGTTCAGGAATGAGATCATAAGAGAAAAAGTCGGCACAGAACCAATTCTGGATTACATACTAAGACAGCAAGTGAAATGGTTTGCCCACATAGAGAGAATGCCTTGTGACACCATACCATACAAAGCATACATGGAAAGAGAAGAAGGACGTAGAGCACGAGGTAGACCATGAATAACGTGGAAGGATAACATCAGAGAAACTCTACAACAGCACGGTGTGCCTATGGTCGAGGCGGCCAGAAGAGCTAGAAACAGAACCTTATATCTCCCTCGACACCCACAGCGATAAAAGAGGAAGTGAAGAAGAAGAAGAGAAGAATAAATTGCGCAGTGTATTGTTTTTGTCTACATTATTTAGGTAATTGGGTACTAGATGTGCACAGTTAGAAGGAAGTCTGATCTCAAACCTCTATGGCTTGTGGCGATACCTTTTTTAGGGACAGCTTTTCGGCAGTGAGGGAGTCACCGTGGTGTAGCGACTAGATGCTCACCTGCTGATCGGAAGGTCGTGAATTCGAGTCTTGGCAGTACCAGCCTTTTTCGAAAATAGCCTTGGCTCCTAGGTCGACCTAGCGTTGAGTGGATACCAGGTACAGTCCTGCCAATTGCCGTTTGGTCTTTAAAAAATATAGGTCCAGCCCCTTTATGGCATATACACCTAAAGGCGTGGAAAAGGGACCCTTACTTTACTTTTATACACAAAACACATAAAGGCGTGCATTTTTTGCTTCTTCTTCCTTCTTCTTTCGTTCACTTGATATAGATTATCTAGGCATGTTTACGTTTCCAGAACCAGGATTAGAGTAACTTCCCTTGTCATTCATGCTCCGTAGGTCGCAAGACCTCTCTTGTATTGCGCGGGTTTGGTTTGGCGTTGGCTCGGCGTATGTAATGTTTTTGGGTGGTTGTGTTCGGAGTCTGTTTCAGGCGCTGCAGGTGCCTGTGTACAATTAAGAAGTACTGCAGGGGGAAGCGCCGCAGGCGCGACGATTCTTAGCTTTCGAAACTGGGATGTTTTGTATTTCTACGTTCGCAGAAAGCAGTTACATGGAGCCTAGGAATAAAAATATAACTGTTTCCTAACTTCCGGACCGTCGCGCAGGTAGCAGAATGTAAAAAAAAAAATCACGCAAGCGAGCGGTGAGTGGATAAGAAAAGAGGCAACGGTTACATCGTTCACAATAAGGAAAACATGACTACCCAGCAACATAGGAGAGCTCCAGCGACCCAAAGAGGCATGAATGGGAAGGAAAGTTGCTCTAACGTTGGACCTGGAAACGTGAACATCGTCGATTATCTATATTTGCAATGTATTAAGATTGGCTTGCACCGGTCTACACTTGCATATGTTAAAACTGAAATAATATTGTTTAAAACAAATACGATTTTTTTTTTTGGGGGGGGGGGGCGGATCTCTTATTAGTGAATGCGTTCACGATTTCATAATCCTAGTGTACTACAGTTCTTTCCCCGTGGTAGGCAGTAAAAAAATTGTACTTATGGTTGTCAAAAAATGGTACGAGAATTGCACCTTGGAAGAAACTGGGATCTCAGCACATAACATTCCTAAAAACAACTGCGGTACACTGTAGCCAACCTTCATTGTGGAGACGTCCCATGTGGGTTAGGGGGCCCCAATTTGGTGAGAAAACAAGAATAGATCCACTACCTTCCCAATAAGCATGTCGTAAGAGTCAACTAATTGGGGGCTTCCTGCGGACGAACAACCAGGTCTTTCACCCCGGGGTTTACAACCGGTGAATGCAAGCAACAACATTGTGGAAACGGTATATAATTTTTTTTGAAACAATTTTTTTTTATATACTATACAATCTAGAGGGTAAAACTAACATTGTTCTCCCTAGATCCCGCCTATAAACACACTAGATCACTTCTGATTAGTAGACCTTGAGCCACGTGTCCTTGGCACAAGGTGACCGGGGTTTTCCGGAATGCCGTTGATATCGCATTTTGTATATTTCCGAACGCCAACTCTTTTAACACTCCAAAAACATGGACAACCAGGGTCTAACACAACTCCCTAGAGAGTGCTGCAACCTATGTCACAGGCATTCTCTTTCTTGGAATCAAAACGTAAATGCAAGAAAACTCTGAAAACAAACAACAGAGCTGCACACCTGTAACCTGCAAAAAAAAATACACCATCCCAACAGAATGACACGTGACCTACTTTGTTTGGGGATACTTACTTAAACCTAACCAATCTAGAGTTCTGTATTTTGTTCAGACATATCGTTACAATAAACATACAATGTATTACTCAATGAACGCTCTATGTCCTCACAGGATCGACACCTCTAACGTGACCTCTGACCTATACGTCATCCCACGACCTTGTGGTGCCAGTTACACCGTCTACTGGCCAGTGATAGATTCTAAACCTCTGTAAGTACTCCCCCCCCCCACTCCCCTCCCCAGGCAACATGCAATAGTTATAGCCTTGTGAAAGAGCTAGTTAGTTAGTTAGTTAGTTAGTTAGTTAGTTAGTTAGTTAGTTAGTTAGTTAGTTAGTTAGTTAGTTAGTTAGTTAGTTAGTTAGTTAGTTAGTTAGTTAGTTAGTTAGTTAGTTAGTTAGTTAGTTAGTTAGTTAGTTAGTTGGGTTATCCTCATTGCACTCCGGACATGTCCATAGGTGCTCAGATCCTCCCCTCAGTATGAACCCCAACGTCCGATGGCTAATAGTACCAGTTCTATGTTGATTAACAAGTCTTCTGACGTGTCCGGTGTGCGTCTCGTTTTTTGATGTGCCTATCTTAATTCCCAAGTCTGCCATTCTGGCGAGTGATGTGGATTCACTGCCACCAAAGTCCTCTATCCTTCCCATTTCTCTGAGGGCATTGATAATATCAGCATGATCCATAGGCTGGCCGTCGGTAGTGATAGCGGATCCAGCCAACCTGTCAGCTCTTTTATTTCCATCGACGCCTGCGTGTCCCGGAACAAAAATAAAGGTGACTCCACGAACAGTGGACTTCTGTAATGATTCAAGCCATTGTCTTCGCACTGAACCTGCCTGAACCCTCCGGATCATACTCATTGAATCACTGAGTATACACACTCGGGTGTATTTTTGTGTTTTAAGCCAGGCAAGCGCTTGTGTCACTGCCATCACCTCCATCGTCATGCTGCTGGTTGTCATGGAGAAGGCGCCGTTGGCTTCTTTGACTGTTTGTGAAAGAGCATTGGAAGTAAACGTAATTGCTCAATACCAAGACATATCTCTTTTAGTCATATAGACAAAATATTTGCCAAGATTATAGAAACGAGGAAGACCAGTGAACAACCGTTGGCAGAAGAACAAATGAGATTTAGGAGAAAAAGAAGCTGCGCCGATGCAGTCTTCACACTTAAACAGGTAATAGAAAAGAACATCTAATACAGTGAGAACATATTTGTGGCATTCGGAGATCAGGAGAAGGCATACCACAGAGTCGACAGACAAATATTGCAGAATGTAGGTTAGTTGCGTATCCTTTACAGGACGTTGCACAACCAATCCCAGCAGCCCCTGGCTGTTGTGTGGTTTCTCTTGGCAAATTTACGTCCAGTAGATTGCCATTGCTTACTGGACGGTCAGCCCCCTGATACCACTGTCGAACCCAACGCATGGCCTGCAGGTGGGATCGAACCCGGCACCCCGACATTACGAAGCGTTCGCATCGACTTAGCCACAGAGTCGACACAGAATGTAATGGCTCGATACAGAGTAAGCGAGCGCTTGATCGACGTGTGCACAAGTTTGAATAGGAAATGTAGAAGCATAGTTAAAATAAATCAGGTAACATCTAAACCCTTCGCAGGAACATCTAGAGCAGCAGTTCTCAACCTGCCTGTCGAGACCCTTTTTGCAGGTCGCAGGGGTCGCCTGAGACAATCGAAAAACACATATTATTTGAATTTATGAAGGAACATAATTGTTTGTGGGTCGCCACAACATAACGCAAAATGTATTGAAGGGTCGGGGCTTTAGGATAGTGGAGAATCGCTGATCTAGAGTTACTAGGAAGTATATTCTCAAAGTCTATAGAAGTGTCCCTAGTGCTAGAGTTACTAGGAAGTATATTCTCAAAGTCTATGGAAGTGTCCCTAGTGCTGTGATGTCGTTTCCTAATTCAACATTCAACATGGAGAATAGACTGGGGGAAAAAAAAAAACAGTATGCCAACGAGAAAATTTACATATTTACCAACAGACACTACCAAAAATGTTGGATGCGGAATTAAGAATCGACATCACAGCACTCGGGACACCCCCATAAGTGCTCAGTCCCCATCTTCAGCAGCAAGCGAAGAGTTCCAATTCTGATGGTACCAGTAACCGTCTGATTAATTATCGATCTCATCCTTCCCCTGAGTGTTGAGCGTCGGTCAGATCCCCTGGTAACACCTCGCAGCGCAATTTTCCTTAGACCTTAATGATCTGTCTGCGCCTCCGCACTGTTCACTCGCTCCCAAAGGACCCTCACAATATTTAACTTGTCATACATCAATTCACCACCAAGTGGTGCAGAGTCAGCCAGTCTATCTGCCTGGTTATTTCCCAACACACCGGCATTACCTGGAGAAAATATCCAAAGAATGCTAACTACCTGGGACCTCTGAAGTGTAACATAACTACCAAAGAAATCCTAACATAAATATGACCGCATATTTACATCAACACTGTGCTACCAGTGCCAAACATGGACATTATCAAAGGCTAATAACCTTCCTAAATATTAGGACATGTGAAAAGAAACTCCAGAGGAAAGCCGCTAACTTGCCCCTTCGGCACAAAGTGGCAAATGATACAATCAGGCAGATTTGCTTTGAGTTGAGTCCAGAATTGGCATCACAGCACCCAGGGCATTCCCACGCATGCTCCGTCCTCATCTTCAGCAGCCAGCGCAGAGTTCCAATACTGATGGTACTGGTCACAATCTGGTTATATGTCCGTCTTGTCTTTTCTCTGAGTCTAGTGAGCCGACCAAGCAAATTCCTGATGTTTAAGACCTTCTACATCAGTGGGTCTCAGCCGCCCTAAAGCCGCGACCCTTTAGTACAGTTCCTCGTGTTGTGGCGACCCCTAAACATACAACTATTTTCGTCTTTTTTTTTATAAGTTCAGTGAAAATATTTTTTTGCGATGGTCTTTGGCCACCCCTGAGAAGGGTCGTTCGACCCCAAAAAGGGTCGCCACCTATAAGTTGAGAGCCGCTGTTCTGCATCGACAGGGAATGAAAGCAGCATTGTCGCCCATCAAGCAATCAATAGCCTGACGGTAAAAGTAAAACATGATGACGATGATGATGTTGGAAAGAAAGACTGCACAGTACTGGACAAAAGTGATGTTATCAATGTTATCAATGCCATGCGCTGCACTTACCGTACCGAGGAGCACGCCGAAAGGAAATGACTCCGTTTCCCTGTCTAGACTAATGGACATGGGGTTACAGCCTGGAGCTGCAAGAAATGAACATTTCACTAAGGAAACAAGACGTTTTATTAACCAACTCAGAGCAGGCGTCATCAGTCGTTTTACACTTGTAGAGCTTTTTGAGATCGAAGCACCTATTGATTTGTCCGGAGTCCTGTTATAATAATCCATTCTAATCAATAATCACTAATCATTGCACAGTGCACAAACCAATGGTGCACACTGTAGTCTAAAACTTAAACGGGAAAACACACAGACAGCTTTGAAAATTGTCTTCACAGTTCAAGTGGACATCTTTGACAACGGAGAAGCACAATTACAGTGAATTGTTTATAGACTTGTATTTTTAGACGATCAATTGTTTTTATTATAACGACCAGCGGAACATCTGTTTAACAATATGGTTGGTGTTGCTGTTGCAAAAAGATTACATAAGCGACCGAAGTAAGTAAAATCGCATCAGTTATCTTTCTACAATGAGTTTTTGTAGCCGCTACATGTAGAAAAGTCTGATTTGAAATAAGAGGTCGCCCTAGGATAAAATGGATCAATGACATTAAACAGCTTCAACATTCATCAGCAAGCAATGGCAATAGCCATTGCTGCCCATCAAGTAATATATAATATATATCGCAAACTGTTCCTCCCCTCGGTGCTTAACGGCAGATGCGGAATTTAGTAATGATGATGATGATGTAAACATAAATTTAATTAGGTATGGGCATTTCAACCTCGCAGCTGATCGATCGATCAAACCAAAGGGATCGATTCGACTACTCGATCCCCTTCCTTCTCGGCATCCTTGTCTGACTGACTGACTGTCCACCCCACTAGGACATCACACAAGCGATAAACACCCGATGACACAAAGTGCCACCATGTGGATGAGGATCACCGTGGAGAGGTCCCAAAAACCGCGTTCAGACAATTGGCCATATTTATGGTCTGCCTATATTGCGGTCCCTGGCAAAAGCCAGAGTGGGGCTTCATATAACAAAAAATTAAAAGGACGTAAGGCATCCTTGCCAATTCCAATTCCAATTCGTCCAACAAAAATTCCAAATTTGATCCTCTTTCAGCTGCCCGGAGGCCTGCTATATCGAAGAAGGTTCCTAAGCTGTCTTATATGGTTTCCTTTTATTTGTGGTGTGTAGTCACACCTGATATTACGGTTGTTTGCTTCCTTGCTGTGCTGCGGTGATTGTGGTTTTTGGTTCTGGTGTGATCCAGATCTCTTTGTGATGATATCGACGGGTACTAGCTGACTGTTGCTGGTGCTTGGCTTGCCTCGTGCTGGTCGCTGTGCTGGTGCCCTGTTGCTGATTGGTTGCCGATCAAAGGCATCATTGTGTGAAATCATCCCTTTTATAGGTCCAGGAACCCGGAGGCAGTGGCAGAGATGGATGAATGCGGATGATATCTGTAGCAGTGAACTTCACAGGCTGGGAATGTTAAAGATAAACATTTTTTTTTTTTAATTGAGCTTGGAAAAACAAAAACAAAATAGCAACATACATATAGTACTTGAGAAATCATAATGACGGGAGATAACAAGGGCACACAACGCCACAAATGTGTTACTGTGTTCACCATAACATTTTTTTTTTTTTTTTGGAGTGAAATTAATAGATGCGGTAGACAATGGAGTGAGCAGTTTGCGACAGCAATAGATTTGAGGACGTGGTGAAAGTTGGTTAAAGGTTTATGTTCTATTTGGAGATAACGAAAGGAAGAGGAAGAATCATCATCTACGATCACCATCACCCTCACTACTTTCCTGAAATGTATTGACATATTTACAATATTTGAAATACACATTTTCTTTGTTCCTGTACAGAAGTAAGCCGTTACAGCCGGAAATAAAAGTCTCCTTGGAAACGTAAGTAGCGTCGCTAACGTGAAAGAATTACTGTTAACATCTTTAGTATCAGAGCTTTTCGCTCATTGACTCGCCGGTCGGGATAGAATTTGGGTTTGTCTTCTTTGATCGTCGGCTCTGTGGCTAATTCGATGCGAACGCTTCGTAATGCCGGGATGCCGGGTTCGATCCCAGCTGCGAGCCATGCGTCCTGCGTTGGTTTCGACAGTGCTATCAAGAAAGCAGACCGTCCAGAAAGCAATGGCAAACTACTGGACGCAAACTTGCCTAGAAAAACCACACAACAGCTAGGGGCTGTTGGGGTTGGTTCTGCAACGTCCTGTAAAGGATACGCAACTAACCTTCTTTGATCGCGTCAACACAGCAAGAGTTCTTTTCAGAACAACTTTGTAGCGAGCAATGAAACCAACGGTGCCAGCAGAAGAGCGTACAACCTAAAAATCAAAACACCAAAAGCCAGGGGAAGACCGGGTAATATATGGATTGAAGGAGTCACTGACACCTTGAGACTGCATAATATCAATCGACTGAGCGCGCCCTCGCTCGGCTGCCGATTGTCTGATAAACTGAGATGCCAAAGCAGATATTGACAAAAGAAGAAAGAAGAATAAGAATTATAACATTCAGACTACTGATTGTATTTAGTAAATAATAATAATATATATTCAATAGCTATTGGTTGTATATATGAACTACTGATTGTATTTCAAAAGCTAGTTGTATTCCAAACTCGATGATTGGATTCAAAAGTAGTGACTGTACTCAAGGACTTATTGATTTCATTCAAAAACTAATAAATACATTAAAAACCTAATGACTGCATTCAAAAGATAATGACTGCATTCAAAGACCGATGAACAACTTCAATGGCTAGTGACTGCATTAAAGTGTCGACGACTGCATTCAAGGACCAATTGTGCGGGATTTAAGACACTGTCAGGCAGTGCTCCGATCTCGTGATTTAGATCAATGGTTCTCAACCTTCTAATGCCGCGACCCTTTCTTACAGCTTCTCATGACGTGGCGATCCTTTCATACAGTTCCTTATTTTGTGGCGACCCCCCAAACATACAGTTACTTTCGTTATTTCTTCATACCCTCAATTTGCTTTCCGATAGTCGTTGGCGACCCCTGTGAAAGGGTCCTTCGACCCCCCCCCCCCAAATAGTCGTGACCCACAGGTTGAAAACCGCTGATTTAGATAATCAAGCATGTTCTTAGCAGACACGCCAATACAAAGAAAAATATGCGGAAAGGGGGTGGGGGAAGCTCAAGCACCTCTCCCCTCCACCGCTTTACAAATTTTGTAGGCACAACAAGGGTGGAGGCTCAAGAGACATAATACTAATTCAGGAGCATAGTAATAATAATTTGCCGAATGGTGAATAAATATAATAATACAGTGGTAATTATATAAACAATTTAAACAAATACGTTTACAGATAATTTATGTACAGAGATAAAGAGAGCAGTTTGGCCCACATGCACAATTATTGGGGGGGGGGGGGGTGAGGGAGTTAGGGGGCCGCTCTCAGCGGCGCCTATAGCGAGAGCTATATCTTGTTAAGCCCCATGAACATATCATACGTTCATTGGTTCCTACATAGAAGCCCATTGAACGCAAGTGAGTAAAGATCCCTTTCACGCCTTTAGGCGCATCGGGTATATGGGAAGAGCACCCATATTTTTACAGACCAATTGCCACTAGGTAGATGATGGGGTCAGCATTACGCATTACTTCCCCAGCATTACGCATTACTTCCCCAGGACATACATCCTGGTACCCATTTTAAGGCTGGATCGACCCGCGACGCCCCATAGCATGATAAAAATCCACGCAGCCAGCAGTGGGTTTCGATCGTGGAACGCTGGAATTAACAATGCAACGCCTAAGCCACGGAAGCCGCTAGTGACCGCAACATGCGCCAAAATTACATCTCCCTTTACTACTCTTTGGGCCTCTGATGTTAAACCCCAGGGACTGAAAGGGGAATGCCTCAGAAAGCTTCCAGCGCCTAACCGACAAGCGCCACGCTTACCGTCGTTAATGTTCTCAATGTTGTTTGATTTCAGGAAACGAAACTTCATTCGTGGCAGAGACGGTCATTATTACGTAGGATGTGACGTTCCGGTTATAAAGGTATCAAGGGAAACCACTTCTGTTGTCCTGTCTGTGCATAATGTTTCTTTTCATGTTCAGTTACCATACACACACACACACACAAATCTCTCATAGATTGAATGTCCTTGCCGTTTATATGTTAAAAGTTTCTTTTCATATTCAACTGCAAGAGAATTCCCAAGAGATCTAATGTCCCTGCTATTCCTATGCTAAATCTGACCTTTCATATTCAACTACAAAATAATTCCCAAGAGATCTAATGTCCCTGCTATTCCTATGCTAAATCTGACCTTTCATTGTTAACTATAAAATAATTTCCAAGAGATCTAATGTCCTTGTTATTCCTATGCGAAATGTTTCTTTTCGTTTTCAGCTATAACCGAAATTCCCAAGAGATCTAATGTCCCTGCTATTCCTATGCTAAATCTGACCTTTCATATTCAACTACAAATAATTCCCATAGAGATCAAATGTTCTTGTTTATTTATATGCTAAATATGCTTTTTTTATTTTCATTTAAAAAGAAATTCCTCTATGCTAAATTTGACTTTTCATTTCCAGCTACAAAAGAAATTTCTAAGAGATCTAATGTCCCTGCTATGCCTTTGCTAAGTGTTTCTTTTCATAATCAACTACGCAGGAAATTCCCAAGAGATCTAATGTCCTTGATATTTCTATGCTAAATTTGTCTTGTCATATTCAGCTACAAAGGAAATTCCAAAGAGATATAATGTTCTTGTTTACTGATATGCTTTTTTGTTCTTTTTATTTTTGGCTAACAACAGAAATTCACAGATCGAATGTCCTTGTACTAGGATGCTAAAATTTGTGTCATATTCAGCTACAACAGAAATTCCTCAGAGATCTATTGTCAAAACAGCGGAGATCAATTCTGAAAACATGCTGCTTTAGTTCGGATTTGAACGCACGACCTTGGGATCCGCAGGGTAACGTCTGGCTGCTACGCCACGGTGGCTCCCAACGCTTGTATCACATTCATCGTTCGCATGGTTATGCTGCTAGTAGGCTTACTGTTTAACTTACTGATCAGGTGATATCGTATTGACACGTTAAACATTTGTGTTAATTTAAATGGACTCTGCACCCTCAACGCAGCGTCCGTGGCTTAGACGTTGCGAATCTGACTCGTAATTCCAACGTACCGCCATCGAAACCCACTGCTGGCTGCGTGGATTTTTATCATGGTATGGGGCGTTGCATGTCCCCTCAGCTTAAAATTGGTACCAGGATGAATGTCCTGGGGAAGTAAAGACGACCTGCCTAATGCTGACCACATTACCCACCGGGTGATGATTGGTGTGTAAAATTATGGGTGCTCTTTTTATGTCCAACGCACGCACATAAGGCATTAAAAGGGATCTTTACTTTTCTTGCATCCTCAACAGAGCGAGTATCAGAAGCGACTTCCGGTAGCAGTTCTAAAGGCGGACGTTCATGCACGGGCGTGTATGACCTACAAAACGGCAACTGGAAGCAAAGTTTGTCGGGACAACCAGTACCAAGGAAAACAGGTCAGTCATTCTGAATTGAAGATTTTAAAGTTGTAAAAATCGACTTCCTTCAACTGAATTTTATCCCATACAGCCCTGTCTTCATCTGCACAACTTTTAGCAATCTGGAAAGAGCCTTGCACCAGGCATACGAACTTCATAGTTCTATAGACGATCCGTGAAACGAACCTACGGCCTCAACAGCTTGGGCCGAACTGCTTGATTGTGACCCGACGCTCTGAAGCAGATAGCTAAGGGCATTACACCAAAGGGGACGAGGGATTCCAGTCTCTCTTACGCCACCCTGCCCCCACACAACGTATGTTTTTAAACAATGCTTTTATTTCAGACAAGGGACCTCAACCCGCCAAAAGCACAAGCGTCGGGTACCCATCTCTCTCAAACCAAGTGTCACTCTTAATCTTCCGACCTCACTATCAAATCTATTGGCACATTCGATTTTTTTCACATCGACTTGGACTTCTAGTAATTCCCCTTGTCTCTGGATAGTAAGACCGGATGCCTATGTGCTTTGTTGCTTACGTAAAAATCTATTAACGGTCAGAAATCGAAAAAGAGTAGCCTTACGGCGCTGCCCGGGCAAAATGTGGAGTTAAAAATCTACACAAAGTATTTCAGGGTCCTCGCCGGTGCTACAGAGCCTGTGCACTGTGCTGAGTCCTTATTCAGACTCCGACTTGAATTAGAAGAAGAAAGGAGCACTTATGGGTTACTACCCGTGTGTCGAAATGTTGGTCTGTTGTTTAAACCTCAAACCTCAAAAAAAAAAAAGTTTCCCTTAACAAATGAAGGGTTAATGTTAATCCGTTCCCATCAGAATAAAATATCCTTTTTTTTTTATTGGCATGTTATGCATTGGTTAAAGTAAAGAGTTAAAGTAAAAATCTCTTTTCACGCTTTCAGGCGTATCGGGTATACGGGAAGAGCGCCCATATTTTGTGGTCAGCATTACGCCGGCCGTCTTTACTTCTCCAGGAACGCCATCCTGGTACCCATTTTAGGCTGGGTCGATCTGCGACGCCCCATACCATGATAAAAAATACACGCAGATTATGCACTGGTGAAGTATAAAATAATTTGTATAATACCTAATACTAAAATCATGAATACAAAAGGCAAAAAAGATGAAATAAATGAAAATGTAACCTCACTTTAGCTTTCTGAAAAGAGTCGAGTGTTTACTGGGATGGTGCTGAGAAAGGAGGCCATGGAGATGCTATTGTTTCTAAGAAGAGTCCCCTCCCAATAGGAATCTGAAATAATGTTGTTGTTTTTCCTGTGCTTTTCCTTTTTTTGGACCAGGTTGCGGTTCATCAGGTTTGATTTTTACTAAGAGTTTGCCTAAAGAAGTTTGCGTCTGTCTTCTCCTCACGATGTTTCGGAAAGGTGACATTGTCTGTTTATTCCAGACAGTGCAATTACAGCTTGCTTAGAATCTATTAGGATGGTACTTCTTTGCAAAAGTCATTAATGTATTAATGTCTACTTGTAGCTTTGTCTGGATAGAAGTAAACAAGGATAGCTTCTGGTGTTGTGACTAATTTTGGCACACACTCACACAGTTCTAACACACGAGTCTGCCTTCCAGATCAAGGTCGTATACCGAGCAATATTGTTTGCATGTAAACAGCATGTATACAATGCTGAACGTATACCAAAGCGAACATATACCGGTGTACAATTGTGTGAGAGAATATCGTGGATCATACCATTGTGTGAGAGAATATCGTGGATCATACTTTTTTTTTTTTTTTTTTAATATCAACCTGTATTTGTCTGGTATTGACAGTTGTTTGAGAAGGCATCGATGGTATTTTCGGCACATTCTAAACGGCGCCGACAAAGAATCACAAAATAGGCACTGAAATGAGAAACTTATGAACTAAAACAGTGAAGACATCCAAGTGAAATCCTCCGAATGTTGATGAAAAAAGCCAGAGATGATGATGATGATATGCGCAGATGACGTGCCTAAAATGTAGTAATATTACAATATTTGAATCCTTGTTGATGTGTGAACTGATCGACGCCCGGAGAAACAAGTCGTTGAGCAGTAATTCGGACTTCCAGTAATTCCCCCTTTTCTCTGGGTATTGAGATCGGAGCCTGCGAGCATTGTTGCGCACGTAAAAAAAAAAAATCTCTTGGCAGTTGTAAATCGAAAAGAGTAGCCTAACGGCGCTGCCAGGTCAAAATTTAGAGTTTACAAATCTACCCAGAGTATTTCAGGATCCTCGCTGCTGCTATAAAGCCTGTTCAGCGACTGAGCAAATTCAAGTATAGGTGGGAAAAAAGCCATGCAAAATAATATTCAAAATGAGAATACTGACCAAATAGATCACCCCTCTGCAGCAGCACGCCATCTTCTAAAATCTGGACACGTGGTAAATAAAAACAATACATTTCAAATCCGTCATACATCAACTAATTGCAGAACGCTAAGATTTATCGAAGCTTCCTCAATTCGTCACCTGCGCCCGGAACTCTGTATACAAAAGGACATGGTTCTGTCTTACGCCTGCCTTGATAAAAACAGGCAGTTATGTTTTGATCGTTGTGGAAATTGTACTTTAGTTATAAAAGATTCACTTATTTGCTGTATTTGTGTATTTGTTACTGTAGTGTGCACCTGACGAGATACAGCGAAATATGTCAGGCAATAAATTATGCAATCTATTGTTTTTGTCTTTTTTGTTCAAATTTACAACGGGGAAACATTGCTTTTCTGAAAATTATACTTTATGTGAATTTTCAGGCTCAAATAACAACGACAGTCGTCAACAAAGAATCGTAAGATTTTAATTCCATTTTATTTATTTTTGTTAAAGGAAAAATTGGGGTGCTGCGTGGTTTCGATGCATGGTGTCCGTCTCGAGTGCTGGAGGTTCCGGGTTCAATCCCCGGTAAGCGCTTGGATTTTTACACATGAACTCGGACTTTCAGTAATACCCCCTTTTCTCTGGGTATTGAGATCGGAGCCTGCGAGCATTGTTGCGCACGTAAAAAAAAATCCCTTGGCAGTTGAAAATCGAAAAGAGTAGCCTAACGGCGCTGCCCGGGCAAAATTTAGAGTTTAAAAATCTACCCAGAGTATTTCAGGATCCTCGCTGCTGCTATAGAGCCTGTTCACTGTGCTGAGCTTCTTCGGACTCAGACTTGAGTTAGAAGAAGAACGGAGCACTTATGGGTTACTACCCGTGTGCCATGATGTTGATCCGCTGTACAACCCTCGAGCCTAAGGACAAATAAGATGAAGATACATACATGACTTGTTTTTGCAAAACAACTAACAATAGGTTGCAATTTCTTTCCCGGAGAGCAGTGCCCATACTGGTTTTAACAGTTTAAGGTCGAGAGGATCTACTTCATTGTACCGGGTTTTATCCCATACGGTTCGGTCTCTCTCCGAAGAACGGCTAGCCGCTTACAGAGAGCGTCGCACAAAACACAAACTCCGTAGCTTCGGTGACGTTTCCCTGGGATCTCTGTAAATACTGCATTCGTGAACTGAACAATCTTCAGAGTGCGATACAAATGGCTTGACCACTTCCTCACGGAATTAATTAATGTGGGGCGTTTTATACATGAGAGCCTCATATAGATGGGAGCGTCTTATAATGGGGGTCTTATAAATCGGGGCGTCTTTTATATGGGGGCGTCTTTTATATGGGGGCGTCTTATATATGGGGACGTCTTGTACATAGGGACGTCTATACATGGGTCGTCTTATACATGGGTGGGTCTTAACGTGGGGGCGTCTTGTAAATAGGGGCGTCTTATACATGGAGGCGTATTATATATGGGGGTGTCTTATACATAAGGGTGTCTTATACACGGAATGTATTAAAATATTTTTCCTTATTAATCTGGGTGGTCTTAAACATGGGGACGTCTTATGCGACGGCGCGTCTTATACATGGGGCGTCTTATACATGGGGCGTCTTATACATGAGGCGTCTTATACATGGGGGCGTCTTATACATGGGGCGTCTTATACATGTGGGCGTCTTATACATGGGGCGTCTTATACATGGGGGCGTCTTATACATGGGGGCGTCTTATACATGGGGGCGTCTTATACATGGGGCGTCTTATACATGGGGCGTCTTATACATGGGGCGTCTTATACATGGGGCGTCTTATACATGGGGGCGTTTTATACATGGGGGGTCTTATACATGGGGGCGTCTTATATATGGAGCGTCTTATACATGGGGGCGTCTTATACATGGGGCGTCTTATACATGGGGTGTCTTATACACGGAATGTGCTTGAAATTTATTTTCCTAATATGGGTGGTCTTAATACATGGGGGCGTCTTATACATGGGGGCGTCTTATACATGGGGGCGTCTTATACATGGGGGCGTCTTATACATGGGGGCGTCTTATACATGGGGGCGTCTTATACATGGGGGCGTCTTATACATTGGGCGTCTTATACATGGGGGCGTCTTATACATGGGGGCGTCTTATACATGGGGTGTCTGATACACGGAATGTGCTTGAAATCTATTTTCCTAATATGGGTGGTCTTATACATGGAGGCGTCTCATACATGGGGGCGTCTGATACATGGGGCGTCTTATACATGGGGGCGTCTTATACATGGGGCGTCTTATACATGGGGTGTCTTATACACGGAATGTGCTTGAAATTTATTTTCCTAATATGGGTGGTCTTAATACATGGGGGCGTCTTATACATGGGGGCGTCTTATACATGGGGGCGTCTTATACATGTGGGCGTCTTATACATGGGGGCGTCTTATACATTGGGGCGTCTTATACATGGGGGCGTCTTATACATGGGGGCGTCTTATACATGGGGGCGTCTGATACACGGAATGTGCTTGAAATTTATTTTCCTAATATGGGTGGTCTTATACATAGAGGCGTCTCATACATGGGGGCGTCTGATACATGGGGCGTCTTATACATGGGGGCGTCTTATACATGAGGGCGTCTTATACACGGGGGCTTCTTATACATGTGGGCGTCTTATACATGGGGGCGTCTTATACATGGGGGCGTCTTATACATGGGGGCGTCTTATACATGGGGGCGTCTTATACATGGGGGCGTCTTATACATGGGGGCGTCTGATACACGGAATGTGCTTGAAATTTATTTTCCTAATATGGGTGGTCTTATACATGGAGGCGTCTCATACATGGGGGCGTCTGATACATGGGGCGTCTTATACATGGGGGCGTCTTATACATGGGGGCGTCTTATACACGGAATGTGCTTTAAATTTATTTTCCTAATATGGGTGGTCTTATACATGGGGGCGTCTTATACATGGGGGCGTCTTATACACGGGGGCGTCTTATACATGGGGGCGTCTTATACATGGGGGCGTCTTATACATGGTGACGTCTTATACACCGAAGAGTGCGGTAGTTATTCAAATCGCCTTTCCTGTGAACTGGAACCTGAGAAATGCGACTAGTCACAGCGCCACCCCACCTCGCAGACGCAGCGCTTACAGAAATGAAGCAGATACTGAAAAGAGAAGATCCTATAGTGAAATCCACAATTAGGGTACTCAGATGGACAATGACACAAGTATATCCGTAGTGTCCAGAGTTCCGAGAGGATAGCTCAGTTTATAGATTGTAACCTCTGAGCAGATATGGTCTCTGCTACCAGTCTGGAACGATGCACTTCACTATCTTCAGTTAAAATTATTATTATTATTTTAATTTGCACTTAATTTAAACGATCGGGGACTATAGGAATAATAACCTCTTAGCCACAAAGCCACCCCATTTTTCGCGTTCATCATCATCATCATGTAGCAGGTACTGTCAAGTACTTTTAAATTATAGGAGCTGTAAAAAGAAGATAGGGGGAAACTACCACATTATTATCCCAAGAAACATATGGATTTTAACAGATTTGAACATCAAGGAAGATAAGCTAACAAACATCATCTAGTATGAGAAGTTCAAATATAGTGATCATATCAAACCCCCACAGCCGCTGGAGAAAAAAATAATAGCAAAAGGTATAGTACCAGAAAGGAGCAGCAGGCACCTACCAGCACGGAGATGGCGGACAGGATATGAAGGTGCTAAAGGCCGGGGAGCAGCCGAGAGATGAGTTTGTTTTTGCAGACAGACCTTGTTGAGAGCGACGCTCTGCAAAGGACCTGCTATATGATGATGATAATGATGATGATGAAATCGAAGACGAGGGGGTTTTATGAGCCTAGTGACAATTATAACCAAGAGCGCACAAATTCGAGTTATGCTGTTTAAACGTAAGGATTTTTTTTTTTTTTTTAGCGAAGCAACGTAACGGAGTACCGGCACTTTTTTTTAGGTATTATCTCTCTCCCCCCCCCCCCCCTCCCTACCCCTCTCCACGTTACTGTAGTAGACACTTTGTGGTGAGTATTGTTCCTTCGGGTTGTGAACTGCACTAAATATAGCAGGTAACGCTATTAATTTGAAAAGCAGTAAACGTATGCAGTACTCCAGCTATAACTGACTGCTTCATTCAACAGTGAGCTGCAATTCTTGTGTGGAAATGTTAGTGCTGGCACATCTGACGTTTGACTTATGCGTTTCCTTTGCGTGTGCAGACTTTCAGATTTTGCTAGAATGTGTGTGTTTTTCACTAATTTTTAAACTTGACAGTAAAAGACATTTTGTGTGATATCCACGGGACACGGACGCAGCATTGAAGATAGAACACCTACTAACGGCTAACTATACATTTATACAAGTGTTTATGACAAAATATTGAGTCAGGTCCGACTATACATTTATACAAGTGTTTATGACGAAATATTGAGTCAGGTCCAACTATACATTTATACAAATGTTTATGACGAAAATATTGAGTCAGGTCCAACTATACATTTATACAAGTGTTTATGACGAAATATTGAGTCAGGTCCAACTATACATTTATACAAGTGTTTATGACGAAATATTGAGTCAGGTCCAACTATACATTTATACAAGTGTTTATAACGAAATATTGAGTTAGGTCCAACTATACATTTATACAAGTGTTTATGACGAAATATTGAGTCAGAGCTAACTATACATTTATACAAGTGTTTATGACGAAATATTGAGTCAGGTCATGCATGGGTGACTCAGTTGTTTACTTCTGACAGGAGCAAATCGGCTGTGCCAATCGGCATGACTGTTGTTGGAGAGAGGAAGGCATCCATGCCCCATGAAGGTATCCTGAAAACAAAAGAAAGTTTCCTGCTGGAGAGAGTACCGCCAATCTCAGAAAGGAACTGTACGTATCATCTTCTTCTCCAGCATTGATGTCTTATCATCATCATCAATCAGCAGGTCTATAGAACGTCGCTCTCGTCACGGCACGCCCAATAGTCAGTCTCTCTTTCCCTAGTCAGTTCTCCGATCCTAGGTGATTTCATAGCCATTGCATTTTCAATGTCATGTTCCCAGGGCATGCGGTCGTTGTTGGTAATGAAAAAGCTGATAGACTGGCAGGTGCTGCATTAACTGAAGATGGCCGGTCCATGGATCACGCAGACATTGTCATTACCCTTAGATAGGACGTTATGAGAATTTTGGAAGTCATGTGCCCACATCACTGCTAAGAATATAGGAATGGCGAGTATAGATAGGCACAGCCGAGCATGAGACGCACACCGGACACAATGTCTTGTTAACCCACACATGACTGCCACTTTTAACAGCGCGGCGCTGATGAATATGTTGAGGAGGGGAGAATCTGAGCACCTATGGATGTGTTCGGAGTGCTGTGAAGATGATCTAACTCATAACTGATAACTCAA